TTCCCTACTACATTACATCTTTTTAGACATTTTCAAAATTATTACTTTGATTGGCATAAGCATCACCTTCTTTTCCAGTCCCTTTCTTTTCCACATTTACGTTAGACCCATTTCATTTGTTTTTATTTGTATTTTATTATCTCTTCTTCTATTTTCATTCTGCTATACAAATGTTCTTAATGCTGTTGTAAAGAGTGAAAGAAGCTGTTACACAACTAAAAATATCATTAAGGAAAGCATCACACTCCTTTTTGTAAAAAGTGAAATACCTTATCTCTTAAATCATGATAATGAAGTTCATATATTTATGTTACCAGTGTTTCTTTGCAACTTGCAGCAAATTCACTTTGAAAATACTGCTATTTATTCTAATTGTGCTCATCCTTTAGTCTAAATTGTAGTTCTGCCTGATTCAGCATCTGTTTGCCGTCAACTGAATGTTAAGATTAGATCTTGACACAAGGTTAAAAAAGAATTGGTCCATTCATTTTTGTTTGAATGTGTAGCGCACACATACACTATCCCCAGCCAAGGAAGTAATCCACGTTACTTAGGATGGCACTTTAAAGACCCTAACTCTTAAAACTTATTCTAGGGCAGCATTAGGAAATTCTTTTGATTCCTAAAACAAAATGTTATGATGGTTGTCTGAGACTCTTGCCTGTCATGCTGACTGGTATTGTATCATTGTTTCTTTGACTAGGGACAGACATCCAAAAAGCCTGAGCCTGAATTGATTCAATCTTTGCGGGGTGGCTAAGCTAAATCAGTTTTATAAACAGACAGACTTCTCAGAAATGCAGGCATGTGCCTGCAGTGGCTCAGGCTAGAAGCCAGGGTGTGCTAGAGCAGCTCTCCCTTCCTTCCATAGCACTGAGCTGGGGTTGGGGGGGTACATGGCCAGGCCCTGGCAGGACACTCTGATTAGCCCAGCAGGCAACTGATAACAGTGTTTGTCACCCCTTTAAGAAATAACAGAGACATATTACCAGCTACCTGTTGTTTCTGCCTGTTGATTATACCTGTTGATTCATCACGGACTGTAGCCACCATGTGGTCTGCTAGCTAATACACAGACAACTCCTCAGCAAGGCAGAGGGGAGGGGGGAATTCCTGCTTAGAAGGGAGTGGTGAGGGGGAGGAGGGGAGCTGCAGTAAGGGAGCAGAGGGGTGGGGCCAGCCCTGCTGTGGAGCGGAGAGCCCTGCCCAGCCCAGAGAGTGTGCTGAGATGCTGGAGGAGTCTGATTTATCTTAAACCAGCAAGGGGTCTGGGACAAACATTGCATAAACTGATTTGAGCCAAATCAGTTGTCTGATACTACACTCAACCATGTTTATCTCAAACCAGTTTCAGCCATTTTCAAACTGGTTTAGGTGCACTGAACATCTGTTATAATGTAACAGATATGATGTCTGTCCCTAGCCTTTTAGTTCCCCTATCTTCCAGAATCAGTCTCTTACCTCTTACTTTATGTTGTAAGCAGTTTGGGGCAGGAATTTGTCTTTTAATTTTGTACAGAACCTAACAGAATGGGATCCTGGCCCATGTCTGGGCTTCTAGGCCCCTGACAGATGATAATATAACTGCAACTGGGATCACAGGAATTTTATGTCCAATGAACAGGGGCACTAGTAGCTATGCCAATACAAATAATAAGGTTGCTGAACCTGCTATAGCTCTTTTATGTCAGTCTCATGGGTTTTAATCCAGAGGTACTGGGTATAATCCTTGCTGTTGACAACCCAGCTTTACATAATTCTAGAACGTAAATAATTAATTTCTAGATTTAAGGACAGACTTTTAAAGTTAGACATATGTTTGCAGACATGCATTTGCTTGCATTTAACTAAATGGCACAAATATTATGCAAAGATGGCTATACTCTAAGTACACAGAAATTTATTCACAAAATTGAAAGGTTTCCTATTTACATGCACATTGAAACTGTATTTTTAAAAGGGAAACAATTACAGTAGTAATAATTCCTTAAGGGCCCAATCCATCTCCCTTTGAAATCAATTGTGTTGAAGTTAAAGACTCGCATTAACTTCAACAGAAACCTGTTTCAGTTTTGAGTTATAAGATTCAGTCA